TAAATGAAAAATTTTCAGTTAGATATTCTAAAACTAAAACATTTCTAAACTTTACCTCTGAAAGATAAGAAATATAAATGACAATAAAGCATAATTTAGAAAACTTATCTAAAATTTGCTCTAATAAGACGCTAACCACTGATAGTCATATTCATCAAGTCTTCATTAAAGTCAAGTACTTACATTAAACCATACCTAATTTTTTAAATCAAAAATTATCAAGTATCATTAATTTTGAATAGCTGAACTTAATGCTATACTGAGTAATTCCAAAAGCAGAGGAAAACACAAGCACAAAAAAAAAAATCTAATCATTTTATGAACTAACTGTATCTCGATAGCCTATATGAAACAAGTAAATCTTATAATCTAAAGAGTATATAAACACACTATAAATTTGTTAAACTTGACTATAATAAACTTAGAAATATATTAAAATCATGACCAACCTGAGTTTTACCAGAATTTGAAGGACAGTGAAAGCAATACATAGCATAGAGTTAAGAAGAGGGGATTGTTAGTCACATGTCCCTGCCTTTAAATCCCACTCCTGAAACATACTAGGGATGAAATATTAATTTCATTCTGTAAACTCAGCTACTAGAAGGGGGGGGAAGAAGTACTGCTCACTTCATAAAGTAGATGGTAAGTTTAAATGAAAAAAAATCTCAAGAGTCTTAATAGAAAATAGTACATAGCAAATATTCATGTTCAGTAGACCTGGTATCCGAGGGTCTATGGTTTCAAGGAGACCCCACTGAGGAAACACCACATGAACAAGAGTTCAGTGCTGTACTGTGGAGGCCTGATTCACTTTTCCCATGCCACCACCCCTACTTTCACTTAAGACATGCTGTCTTTAAATCTCACATTTTCACCTGATCACTTAAATTAAGCACCTTAACCTTTACCTTGCTTTTTGGGCACCACTTGCTTTTAGGGCAGCATATTTTCACAAAATTAAGGGCAGAGAAACAACAGATTACACAACAATTTAAACACAAGGTGATGATGACACAGGACTGACCGAGAACTTCTCCACATCAACTGAGCTACATAATGTGTGGGGGGGGGGGATTTAAAGTCTGTTTTTTGAAATTTCTTTTGATTTAAAAAAAAATTTTTTTTTTAACCACAGTTGGTCAAAATCATGTGTAACAAATTCATGAATTAAGGCACTCTTACTGGAGGGCTTATTGTATGTTAACCTAATATAATTACTGCTCTTATTTTATTAACACAAAATATAACATCATTCCTGCCCTCCCCCCCCAAAAAAAGACATTTAAAAAGAGTCATCATCTAAATATGATTTCAAAACATTTAGAAAACTTAGGAATCTAGTAAAAGAAATTTCTCTATCATGATGAAACAACACAGAACAGAAACAGTCTAGAATCTTAGCTAAAGCTAAAATTAAACAAAAAATACATTTATATATATTGTATAAATTGCATAAATATTGTATACAATGTATTTGCATAAATAACAACAAGAAACAGGTCAGAATGGTATACTAGAAGAAAAATTTTAAAACATAAGAACTGATGAGAATTCATTAAGACTGGATACAATGTTAGTAAGCAAATCAAACCTAGAAGAGAAAGAGAAGTACTAAGCATTTATTCTGTGACTACCTCTGCTCAAATCAAGTGCTATGCTAACAACAATACAACCAACTATTTCAGAGTACAAAATATCCTTTTTATGTAACATTTAAGTAATGTTAACTGTCAAATGCTATAATTTTATATTTTATAACCTTAGATGATATCTAAATTAGGAAACACTGCATGTTATTTCAAATAAGAAATTTGCCCATTTTGGGTTGTTTTTCAAATTTTGTTTTAATTTGGTTAATCTGTGGACTATATCCCCATTAATCTTGAGGTTAAGTGAAGGCTGACAGTATAGATCTATGGAAGTCCTCTCTCCCCACATTCTCTGTAATTTTTTATCCTCCCTATATAGACAGAATAATTACTGCTTAACTCCAGTAAACATTCAAATCTGAAGAAGCTGCACATGTCTAACCACACTAACTTTACAGTTTGCAGATTTAAAGGCATTTGATGACTTGCACAAGGTCAGAGAAAGGTGACTTAGATCTAACCCACATCCTGTCTTTTCTCTAACACTGCCTATTTACCAAGCATGAATCCAGTTTTAATATGTCACTCTTTCTCATATTTAAATCTCAAAATTTAGTTAGAGAAATAAGTACTATGTTTGAATGCTTTTAGAAATGATTCACTCATTACTTAATTTATCAAATACTTGCTGATAATGTACTATGTACAAAGTCCTACAGTGAAACATCACAGGAACTTTATATTTTATTCAACTCAGAAGGATGATTTCAGTAAATAGTGATCTGCTTGCTAACTTTACCTACAAGTTAACTTGGTTCCTAGGAGGAAATTCCTAATGCTACTCTAAAAAAAAAATCATCATTTGGAACTTGAAGCTATGTATCAAATTTCTAAGACCTAAGGATCAAGCACAAAGTCTGAAGATACAGGTCCAAGGTTAAAACTGGCACAGGTTTAACTGTACTTAATCTGCTGGTAACTCCACCTCACCTGTAACATCTAAACCTCAGAAAAGCAGCTCTCTGCAGTTTTACTATCTCGTAAGACCCTGGCTTGGCCAAACTTCAGCAATCAAGCCAAGAACACATCAAGGGGAAAAGACAGACCCTTGCCTCTTCATACTACATTGTCACAAGCTACTTTGAAGGTGGGGGGAAAGAAAAAAATCTAAGAAAGTTTTGTACAGTGTTACTTAAAAAACAAACAAACAAACAAAAAACCCATCTTCCATCCCTCTGCAGTGAAAGAAAACAAAAATCTTAAAAACATAGGAAACTGTTGCAAATAAAGTAAGTTAAAATTAGCTGTGTAATCAAAAACTACAAGTACACCAGCTAAAATTATAGGTATAAAACATACACTACTACCTCGTCTTTTACTGATAATCCATAAGGTTTCTTACTGAAACCAGTTTCACTTTTGTTTCTTCTAAAGTATGAAGTTTACTTCCTACTTCCTAATTTGAAATCTACTACATGTTTCTTAGTTTGGTTTTAAATCTGTCAACTTTCTTGAGGTGGATGGTTTCAAGTATTTATACCCATATATTTTTTAAGTAGTTCTAATAAAGTTTTAAAACAAACGTAAATACCACGATGAAAGTATAAAAACACATTGTTGCACTAAAAAATTTCTTCAATTTTAGTGAAATGATCTGAAACACATATATTAAAAACATAATCTCAATGTTAATATTTTGAATTAAGGACTACTACCTTTGTGCAGAGGGGGTCATTAAACTAAGAAATTGGGCTTGATAACCAATATCACTTTCAGCAATTCGATTCTTGATTCTACAATTTTATGCAGACACTTTTGAACCACCCAATTAAGTGAGCACATCTGATTCTATACTACTGAGCAGTTTAGTCAAAATCAATTTTTAAAGACCCACAAACTTACAAACTTCTTGCCACTGTTTAAGTTTAAGAGATGTGAAAAGTAGGAGCTACATTTCCCATTTTGAAACAAACGGGCTTTAATATGCAACACCAAAGACTGAGTACAAACATAATGCTGCCAAATTATTAACTATTGCTTAGTGTTCATATGACCACATGATCCTTCCTATAAGTCACCCTCTATCATATACTCAACATCAAAAACTAAAGATTAAATGTTCAAAATAGAAAATACAGGATTAGGAGGTAAACTGTGTTAAACCCCCAATATCAAATCTCGAATTTAAATTGATTGCAGTCTGCAATAAAATACTCAATTCACCAGTACTATCAACTAACATCACTTTCAAAAACAACTTTCCCAAAGTACCTAAAATAACATGCACTATCCTTGCTTTCCAAAATTTTTGAGAACATCTTTAGTTACCTCAAGTAGTATAATAAAATTCTCAAGACAATCTCAATGCATAACTTCAGCAGGCTATTGGTACATATCATCCATCTTAGCACACAAGCCTTACTCTAAAGTCAAGCACAGATAGAACACAACTACAACGTGCCAAAACTAAAACAGGGTGGGGCATTCATTACTCACCCAGATAAAACACACACAGCTTTGGTGGTTGTTCACGGTAAACCTAATTACCCCTATAATTCCAACACGACTAAGGCAATGTTTCTTTTCTTGCAAAATGCTTTTCAGAAGAAACAAGGAAAAAAAAAATCAAGCCATGGCCAAGTACTCTTCAGGATATGGTGCAAGCCATGATAGTGCACTTAAGACTCTTAAAGCAAAATCTAGAATACTAAGATGATCTCTCAATATTCACTATAAAGACTTGATGCTTCATATTTTTTTTTTAAATGCGGTTTCAGTGAGTGACCAATTGAATATGTGACTGATGCCAGAGTTAAGGGTGAACGACAGAACAAGGTCAAACTTAGGGGACAAAAGATTCCTGGAATAACATAACCATAGAGGTTTCCTTTCATAAAGGATAGTTTCTACAGTCAGAAAAAATAAAAATAAAAAGCAACCAACCAAATCCTCTACACGTACATTACAGTTTCCCTGATCACTGTACCTAAAAGCTGGGTAATTCAATTTGGTGATCGTTTTTGCAGAACTGCAGGCCTGGAATACTACCTCCATCAAGACAAACTGTGCTCAAGAGGGATGACAACTGACACTCTCTTTCAAAAAAGAAAGAGAGAATAAAGTTTAATCAAGAAGCCTGGCAGAGAGAACTGGAGGAATGTGAGAGCAAGTCTACTACCTGGCACCGTCTGTCACAGGAAAACAGTCAGCAGAAGGAAGTGACCCAAACCCGCTTCCACAAGCAGCCGGGCACTGACTGAGCGTGACGCCCCCAGAGCCTCGGGTTGGGGCGCCGGGCGGCGGGGCAGGAGGCCTGGGGCGCCGGGCCGGGCCGGGCCGGGCCGGGCGGAGGGCCCGCACGTCGGAAGGCGAAGGCGCGGGCCGCGCGGGGCCGGCTCGGGCGCTCACCTTCTGCGCCGTGCTCTGCTGCAGCACGTTCTGCTCCACGGTCATGGCCCCCGCGGCGTCCGGAGCGGCGCGCACAGCCGGGAGGACAGCGCCCCCGCCAGCCAAGCACGAAGGCGATGGCGGCCGGCGTGCGCGGGCACCGCGGGCAGGCGGCGAGGCGCGGACTGAGAGGGCCACCGCGGCGGCCCCACGTCCCCGCGCGGCCCGCCTCAGCGCGGCTCGTCCGCGGCGGCCCGGGCCATGGGCGGGTGGCCGACGCCGGGGCGCGGGAAGGCGCGAGCAAGCCGGGCCGCGTCACGCGTTCGCGCGCTCCTAGGCTGGCGGCTCCCGGGGGCACTGCGGGGAAGGGAGAGAGGGAACGGAGGGAGCGGCCGGCCGGAATGGCGCTGTCCTCCTCCCTCCGCGACTCCTCCTCCCCTCCCCTCCCCTCCCCTCCCGCAACCGCCGTCACCGCCCCCGCCCGGCGGCTCCTCCCCCGCGGAGCCCCGCCCGCAGGCCGCCCTAACCCTACATTGTGACCCGGGGGGCGGCGGGGCGGAGTGGGGCGGGGTCGGCCCGGGGCCACGCCCCCAATCCGGCCCCGCCCCTCTCCGCCGGCGCGGGCCTTGAGCTCCGGGATGGGCCGAGGGTGCGCCCGGCAGGCTGAGCCCCAGTGGCAGGTTGCTCTGTGCCTGCCCTAGGGTCCGCGAAGCGAATGGCGGCCGAGGGGTTAGAGCTTATACCTGGGCCCAGCAATTGTCAGATCGCCCTCTTGCCCAGTGTCTCCAAGACAAACACGTCCCTCCCTACTTGCAATGTCCTGAAACATCACAGGGTCCAGAGCAACTGGCTGCTTTCTGTCACCCTCGCCTTTCTAGGAATTTCATAAGCAGTGAACTTGCCCAAAGAGAAAAGTCAAATAAGCAAAGGGCTGTCAGAAGTCCTTAAGCCGTAATGTACTTTCCTCCTTAATCATTACATATATGAGTATTGACAGCTTGTATCTACTTCATATATTTGAATGTGTGACAGTCACTGCTAGGCCCTAGAGAAATAAGGTTTATTTACCGATGACTTAAATGAGTAAGATCTATAAGACAAACGGCATTGCAAAAGAATCACTACCTAGATGATACATAATTCTAATATCCCAATTGCCAAATTAAGCAAAAAGACTAATTACCATGCATGGGACACATGACCATACATGGAATTGTAAGGAAAACCTAACAATGAGAGCGCATTCTGAAGTGGAAAAAATATCAAGAGTTTCACTAGCATAACCTGGGGACAGAAATGAAGATGCAACAGTAGGAAGAGAGGAATTACCAGTGCCTGTTGTCAAAAATATGATAAATACAATATGCACCCAAATCCAGGTATAATTTTTAGTGTGATGATGAGGAAAGTAAGCTTGGGGAAGGATGCTTAAAATGTCTGATTTTATTTAACCAAGGTAACTCATACAGGCGTTGTAACAATTCTGCATACTCTAAAAACATCTTTGATCTGCCCCTTGGATGTCCTCAGCCATCTTTTATGAACTTTTCCTTGAATTCTCACACTTGTTTGCTCATTTGATTTTGACAAATTACAAATTTTATTTTATTGACATCCTCCATCCTTGCCAGAAAAACTTAAAAGTTGTGAAGTGGCTGGAAGCAAGCAAAAAATTTAGGGATAATGCAACAATTCTGATCTGAAGCATCAAGTTGTTTATGAAAACACTGGGAACCAAAAGAGTATAACCTGTAAAAGAATGAATATTAGACCTCATTTTCCTCATTTATACAACAGTTTCTTTTTTGCTTCATTTGTAGCTGAACTTCATGTTTCTCTATATTACACGTTTTTAGAAAACCAGGTTCCTCTATTTGAATTTAAGAAAGTTAATTTGGGCTGGGGATGTAACTCAGTGGTTAAACTCTTCCTAGTGCAAAGCCCTGAGTTGGATCTCCAGCACCACAAAAAAAGTTAAATTTAACATTAAAATCCAGTTCTTTGATTTGAAAAGATATTGCCAGGCATCACAGCTGTTTGTTTGTTTTGTGGTACTGGGGCTTAAACTCAGGGCCTACACCTAGTTGCTCCACCAGCCCTACTTTTTGTGTTAGGTATTTTTGAGATAGGGTCTTGAGAACTGTTTGCTAGGGCTGGCTTTGAACTGCAAACTCCTGATATCTGCTTCCTGAGTAGCTAGGATTACAAGCATGAGCCACCGACATCCACCTCAGATATTAAGTTTAATTTCAAGAATTTGGCAATACACTGGTCCTCTGAGTTCAACTCTTTAGTTTTCATTTAAAAAAATCTTACTAGTGCTTGCTAGATAATTGTCAAATGCTAAGTGGCGTATTTGTCCACTTAGATCATTTCCAGCTCACTTCTGATGACTTCCTCCTTATTCAACATTTAAAAAAAATATTGGTGATCATCATATTGTAGAATTTTTCCAGACAAGGAATGAAAATCTGTTTCTAGACACTGAAAGGCTATTATGTTGCCAAAACCAAAAATAAGTTAATAAGAAAGAAAAGTTCAATTCATACTCTAGATATGAACAATTTCCATGACACAAGGATGGTCTTAAATCTACTTGAATGAGTATTAGAATAATTTTCCTGCTTTAGTTGTATAGATACTCTAAAATAATTTTATTTCTACCAATAAAGCAACAATAGCAATTATTCAGAGAAGGATTTTATGATGTCACAATGACACTATTCAGTAAGAGACCAGTCATAGATTAGAACCTGTAATAGCACTTTCTGCCTATACAAGCACAATAAAATGCCCAGCTAGAAAGTCTATTTTATGATTTTACATTGTATGTCCAGCTCTAAGTTCTTATCCAAGTGGATAGCCCTGTGGTCCTGACAGCTTTAGTCACATTATTATATGACAAACCTGTCATTATTAGTATCTGTAGCACTCAATAGTGCCTCGCACTTTGATGAGCTCCAGATATTTCTCCTTTAGTATTGTGTTAGTTTGCTTGAGCTTCTATAACAAGCTACTCCAAACTGGGGTTCTTAAACAACAGAACATTTTATTTTTTTCATAATTCTGGAGGATGGAGGTCCAAGATCAAAGTTCCAGCAGGGCTGGTTCTTCCTTCTGCTTCCCTTCTTTGCTTCCAGATAGCCACACTATTGCTGTCCTGTTCCTGTGGTGGTCTCTCTTTGCATGAGTGCCCATCACGTCTCTTCTTCTAAAGGACACCAGTCATAATGGATTATGGCTCCACCTGAACAGCCTCATTTTAACTTAATCACTTCTTTAGAGAATGTACCTAGAAATATAGTTATATTCTGAGGCACAGGGACTTAAGATCTCAATATATAAATTTTAAGGGTATATAAGTCAGTCCAGAATAATCATATCTAATCTACCTCTCTTATTCCTACACTTCACACCCTTGTATCCCTTTCCTACTCAACCCCATAACCTCTTGGATTGGTAAGAAAGGCATTAACATATCAAAGGGTAGTAATTTTTCACATTTTCCCCAGTGTGGACACTTTAATTGGAATAGTTTTGAGGGAGAAGTGTTCTGTGAATGGAAAAAGGATTGCAGTCTAATGTGAACTATTACTTTACAAGTAGCACTCAGTAAGTAAGGCCAACATAGAGAAAAAGGTGCATATTATTAATTAAGTGCTAGTACAGAAGTGAATGTTTCTTCTCTGTATCACATTCTTTCTCTTACCTTGAACAAACCAAAGTCATTCTCTCACAGGAAAGATGGTTTACAGTCCCCAGACCATTTCTCAGTTCTTTCCTGTCTTCCATTCATTCTGAAAAGACAAAGTCTTCCCTTCTATAGGGACAGGCACAAATTTCCCCAAAATTATACTACAATATGTATGGGCAGAGAAAACCACATATTAGAAAGCAAGTAATGCCACTTTACAAAGCCTCCTTCTCCATATTCAGAGCACTTTGTCCCTACATGTATACAAATCCTGAAGAATGATACAGGAACTCCCAGCTCTGTGGTCCTGGGCAAGTTGCTTTAGCCTCTGTATTGTCCTGACTTTGCCATCAGTTGCATTCAATGAATTTCTATATGGAGATGGCTCTACTCTCATTCCCTCGTTCTTGTGTCACCTGACTTCAGAATGGATTTAGCCAATGGAAGAGTAAGTGAGGTACTGAAGGGTAGGAAAATGGTAAAATCAAGCTATTTCCTCTCCTTTCCTTAGTGGCATTTTTGTGGGATATGTTTCTTTGGTGGTTCTATCTTTCACCAAACTGGTGTCCTCTGATTCCAGGTCTTCTCAGTAAAGCTGGTTCTTGAGATTAATAAACCTTTTCTCCTCTTTTTATTTCCATACTAGAGGTGGTTATGATTTCTTGCTGTCGTTAAACTCATATATAACTCATCATCATAGTTTGAATCTTCAGTGTTCCCCCATGTGTTGAAAACTTGGTGCTTTACCTGCTGCCCTATTGGGAAGTTATGAAACCTTTAGGAGGTGGGGCCTAGTGGGTGGAATTTTATCTCATTACATCAAGGTTTCTTTGAAGATGCTATTATGACTCTGCTCTTCTTCCTTTCTCACTTTGTGCTGTGAAATGAGCAGCTTCTTCCACTACATGTTCCCACCTTGATCTCCTTCCTCCAGAGGCCCAAAAGCAACAAGCCCACTGACCATGACTAAAACCATGATCCCAAACTTTTTTTCTTATAAGTTGTTTACCTTGGGTATTTTGTAACAGTGACAGAAGCTGACTAACACACTCACTGTCCATATTTGGCTTTCCAACTCTTCCATTTCCTGAAACACCAATTATTCGGATTAGGTTATCCCATTTTAACATACTGCCCCTGCATCAGTTCTATCATCTATAAAGTAAAAATAATAACATAGGGTTATTTTGATGACTAAATGACTGCTACATTTAAAATGGCTAGAAAACTATAAGGCACCATTGTAGCTTGAATCTTGAATGTCCCATAATGGTTTAGTCCTAAGCTTTGCACTATTAGAAGGTGGTGGCACCTTTAAAAGGTGGGACAGCCAGGTGTGCTGAGTTTGAGGCCACTCTGACTACTCAGTGATTCTCAAAAAAATAAAACAAAACAAAACAAAAAAAACAAATTAAAAGGGGTAAGGCACAGTAGGTCTTAGATCATTGGAGCATGGATTTGAAAGGACTAGTGCAAGCTGACCCCTTTCTCTTCTCTCTCTTTTGACTTCCCAGCCATCATGGGCTTTCACTGGTCCCTGAAAGTGCATGATCCACCTCTGCCACATGTTCCAGCCATGATGGGTTGCCTCACACATATCCCAAAACAATAAGGCCACCCGACATGGACTGAAACTTCCAAAACTATGAGCCAAAATAAAAATAAACCTTTCCCTTTTTTCTTCTTTTTTGAAACAGGGTCTTACTATGTAGCACAAGATGGCTTCACACTCATGAT